AGAATTAAGTTCTTGTTCTTGAAAAGTTACCAGTCTATATCTTCCAGAAAGAAGGAATATTACTTAAAGGTAAACCAATATTACTTATTGTCATGCCCCTTTGAGCAAAGTTCCAAGTACCTGACAATTATTCAGTTTTGCACCCACTGAATTTAACTGTCTCCTCCAATCCTCACTTCCACCTTTGGAGGCTGTGACACAGCTCTCCTCTCAGCATTCTCTATACACCTTTAGATGTATTTGACGGGATAGCTGACATTTTCTTCTCTTGGAAATCACCCCACTGTGTGCACTCTTTATTCTTTGTTTTCCCATCTGGTATCCTAAGGCTTCCCTTATTCCAGATCAAATATTTAAGGTTTCTAAGCAGGAAACAAATTACTTGCCAAAGCTGCTGTGATATCATGACTAAAGAGAACACTTAAAACTTGCAACAAAGGAAATTTGCAATTCTGGAAGATGTACAACTTCCACCATCTATCAAGGAGCCTTCATTTTCACCTCCTGCTTTCTTACTTGCAAAAAACTCGAGCTTATTTTGTTCGTCTAACGCACAACACCAGATGCCCACTCTATCTCAGATAATTGGCATCTGGGTCTTTTATCTACGCAAACTTGTCATTGAAAAGGTCCTTGGGTTTGAAGTCAGTGGGTGCTGGAAATACTACTTGACACTCTGAGCCCCAGGTTGATTTGAGATTGGGTAGATTTCATGCAGGGTCTTTGGAATTTTCCCTGGCTGCTGGGAAGATTCCACTTTGCTAGGAAGATTTAGGGACAGAATTATGCTTCTCTAGGTACCGTATGTGTTTGCACAAGGGTTTACTGAAACGGTCGCTATTGTGCAAACTCGGTACTTCCAATGTAACTAACATAAGCCCAAGGAGGTGCACCAACGCGTTACGCAGATCTGGCAACTCCCGCGGAGGCCATCTGCGCCAGCCTGCGGACTCTGCCGAAGCAACTATTGGCCCTCGCCACCAGGTTTCTCTCTCCTCCAGGCAGCTGCCTGTCAGTCGTAGGCTCTTCCTATTTTCACCCCTCCCTCCGCCAGCTGGCTCCTTCCGGACTCCTCCTCATCCTCCCGCCCTGCCCCGCGCGGGCTACGGCTGTTCCGTCAGGCGCCGCCCCTCCCCAGCTCCGGGACCAGGAGCGCCGCTTCGCCCCGCCTCCAGCGCAGGCAGCCATCCCCTACATCCGGGTACTGACTCCAGCCGCCCAGACTTTGGCACTATGGTCATGGCGGAGGGGACGGCAGTGCTGAGGCGGAACAGGCCGGGCACCAAGGCGCAGGTATCATCTTTGCACCTTTTCTGCGGGGGGACTCTCGGTGCGGAGCCGTGCCGTACCTGCAAGCTGGCTGCCCCAGGGGGGAGGTTGGGCCGGGGCGGCAGGCAGGCGGGCGGGGGCACCAGTGCCCGGCCTGCTCTTCCGGAGCCGCAGCCCCTCAGTCTGGCTGAGGCCGCGGCGGCCCGTGAGGCCTGCGGAGCCCCGACTTGAGGGTGAGCTTGAGGGGCGCATAGGGACCACGGGCAGTGACTGCCAAGGCCTGCGACTGGGGACCTGTCAGCAGCGCCTGCTTGTCATCTCTCCCTTGAACCCCAGCTGACCAGCGTCGAAGGGGCACAGCCGGCCAGATGGATACCCCTGGGATTTCGTGGGGGTCGGGCTTGCCAGGGTGGGAGGGCGTGTAAACACAGCGTGCTTCGTCCTGGCTTCCAGTTCCCACCTGGCTTGAGACGCACCTGCCCGGCTTCTGCCATCCAGCTTGTCTGGCCGGATCTAGGTGGCGATGATTGACTATATCCTCCTCTTGCTGTTTGCCTTTGGCCACTTCTCGCTGCAGCTGTTCTCTGGCCCAGCAAGTTTTCATCATCAGGTTGCGACTTGTTAGTTAGCATTCCTTGTGAATGTCTTTGTTATTATGTGTGAAGCATAGTTAGGGAATGAACTGATTATTAATCAACCTTTTGTAAGGCATTATTTGGGGTGAGTTGGTGCTTGTTTAGGTATTGGCTCTTGGGATTTGCAAAAGAGGTATGCCTCACATTCTTAAAAAAATCAAATAGGTATTTAGACTTGATCTGATTAATCTGCCAGCTGAAATGATTTGCTATTGAGTAGATGCTCTAAAATCAGAAGAGATGTGTTAAAATGTAATTTTAAAGAAAAAGTGATTTAAGTGAGAAAACCAAAAAGACATGTAGCTATGACTGTATGCCAGAGAATAGATTTTAATCTTACACAGACATTTGGAAAGGGAGTCCTTTCTAAAGGGATAAAGGGACCTTTTAGGTTCAGACGCCTTCTCAGAGCCATGTTACAGATAAGAAAACCGAAGCACAGAGAATCTGCTGCATTTGCTCAAGGTTATATAGCTTTGGATTCTTAGTTCACTGGGGACCTTTTCTTTATCAAGTTGCTCCTAGTACTGAATTTTAGAGAATTCAGTTTGGAAGTCTTACAGAGTCACATTAAAAAACTTTCTTTGTACACTTTAATAATTTTTAGAGTTCATTAAGCTGTCAGTTACTCTGGCAGTTTCGTGGTAATGCTACTGGTAATTTATATAGTATTTAGGCTTTCTTTTTACCTTTTCCAAACCTTTATTTCTTATTCTGTGGAAACATTGTTTCTTTTTATTTTAAGTGATCAACTTTTATATTTTTATATTCAGAAGTGGACTTTTGTACTTTCAGTCTGAGAATCGTCATCCATTTTCATTTACTCAAAAGTTCTTAAGTTTGAAAGGTTAGAAAATAATTTATGTTAATGTTGTAACACACCTGTTTGCTATATTGTTACGAGTAAGTCAAATATAAGAAAGCTCCTTTGCTTTTTTCCACATTGTCATAGATCAAGGTTGTTAAATAAAATGTAACAGAAAAGGTTAGGGTTAAAAAAAAAAGTGCTTAATCAGCATTCTGTTGTATCCCTTGCCTGTCACACTAACTTCCTTCAGTGAAATGGGTCTATTTTAAGATGACATTAAAACTATAATTGAGTAGGTGGAGTGTCTTCCTACTTTTTTTTTTTTAATTGGGTAAATTGGGATATTGGCACATAGTTGGTTTTCAGTAAATGTTTATTGACTAAATTAGAGGAGAGCATTCATTAAACTGGATTTTTGGATCTTTTAAGCATTTAAAGTATATCACAGTTATGATAAGGCAAAACATTTAATTCCCAATGAGCTTTTTTACATCTTTTTTTTTTTAAAGATTTTATTGAGGAATTGGGGGAGGGGAACAGCGTTGGGAAATCGGGGAAGGGGAACTGATAAGTTGCTGTCCTTTTGTTCTTCAGTCTAATTGTAGAGGACGTCACTTCACTGGCCCATGTTGGTATTATCATTGCGCTCTTCCCAGGTGAGGCAGATAGGTTGCCGGGCCCTGGACAGCCGCTCACAGTGGCTCTTGGCAGCTCACTCCAGCTGCCAGCTGCTCACGCCGGCTGCCAGCCACTCACGGTAGTTTTTTACAGCAGCCCACTGCAGCCTATGCTGTTGCGGGCGACTCACGGCAGCCCAGCTCCAGGTTGAGCTGTTGTTCACCATCTTAGCTGTAGAGGGCGCAGTGTCACTGGTCCTCATGTGGGATCCGAACCAGGGCCCTTCCAAGCCAGCTCTTAACCAATGTGCCACTCGGCCAGCCCACATCTTTTCTTTATGTTACTATATGTGTTTTCTAATGTTTTGTAACAAGATATTCTACAGACTAAATATTTTTATAGGAGGGAGTATGGAAAGTGTATTGATGGAAATATTTTTTAGTATAAATCATATAGGAAGAATTTAAAAATTACTCTTTAATAATATTTAGATGATGTCTAGGAAGAGACTCCTGGAATAATTTCCAGAAAGTTGTTTTTATTTCTTGACATTTTAAAATAAAATTTATTTTCATTTAGATAGGGAAACTATTTTTAAAATATAACTGTTTAAGACACTTAAAAAGGTCTTAAACACCACCTACCCTCAGAACTAAAACATTACTAATATAGTTGAGTCCCTCTATTACGTTGTTCTGCCTTCTACCCATTCCTCCCAACCAATAATAGTGATAATCATTTTTTTCTTTATACTTTTATTATATATGCATTATAGCTATAAGCATGCTTGGGACATTCTTAAATTTTTATTCACGTGGAGAATACTTATACATTGTATTCTCCAATTTGCTCCAATTTTTGCTCAAGGTGTTTGGAGACTTATCCATGTTGATTATACAGGATTATAGATTATTGGTTTACAACTACTTTTTCCATAGAGACATTTATTGACCACCTACCGTGTACCAGGCATTGTGCTATCTGCAAAAGATAATAGGTAAACTTTTATGAAAAATCAGGACCTGGAAAGGTACTCAGTCACTTAGGGGAATGTCTACGAACTGGATTATCTGTAGAGGAATTCAGAACCAAGGCAATGTGATCCATGAAAATATCCTCCTTAAAAGAAGACTGTTCTATTTGGATGACTTTTTTGTGGAGCTTATATTTTTATTTAGAAATTTAAAACACCATTTAGAATTGGAATAATAATTCCTAATGTCTGTCTCAGCACTCATGGAGCAATAATTACTTGTACTACTACTACTACCAACACTAGCTATTCTCTTTAGGTAAAAACTGGCTCAGTTTTTTTGATGCCTGGAGATTTATTAAAGTAACTTTTTGAGAGCCATATAACCATCATAAATAAGTCATAGACTTATTTCCTCAAGTAATACATGAAAGGTTTATGGGAGCCTTATTTAAGGGAATTGTGGTTGAAAAAAATGTAACTTGTAGTTCAATTAAATAAAATCTTGATGTTCATTTAAAAACATTGAATAAAATTCTTTTACTTTCTTTACTGATAATCACATTGTTAATATGAGTGCTTTTCTTTTCCTCTAGTGTAACTTTAGATTTTAACTTTGGAATTGAAATTAATCATAATAGTATTGCATCTTCATTATAACTTTGTATGTGCTTTAACCATGAATTTTTTTTTATAGGATTTCTATAATTGGCCTGATGAATCCTTTGATGAAATGGACAGTACACTAGCTGTTCAACAGGTAATAACAATAGTTTCTTTTGCAACTCCCAATAACCTATGCATTTGACCTCCCTTGGCATAGTTAGTATTCTTATCTTTCAGCACAAACCAGAATCCATGGAATTAATGGAATGCCCGTTTAAAACTTTTATCGATCTTCATTTTGTTTTAAGATGTCATATTAAATTATAATCAAACTTAAATACATTTTAATATCTTAAAATATGTTAATCTGCACCAAATTAGGGTACCAAATTTTATTTTAGAATGAATTTAGTACAAAATTAATTGAATACTAAATTAAAATAACAAAGAGAACAGCATACCCATTTGGTGACTGAACACTTGTGAGCATATATCTAAGTTTTACTTTTTTTTTTTTAAAGATTTTATTGGGGAATTGGGGAAAAGGAACAGCCAATTTGTTGTCCTTCAGTCTTAGTTGTGGAGGGCGCAGCTAGCTCAGCTCTAAGTCTAGTCACCATCCGACCACCCGTCGGCAGCTCGTGGCCACTCAGCTTGAGGTGCCGTGTTCAATCTTAGTTGTGGGTGGGCATAGCCCACCATTTCAATGTGAGAGTTGAACCGGCAACCTTATTGTTAGGAGCACGTGCTCTCACCAGCTGAGTCATTTTGCCACCTGTTGGCAGCTCAGTGGCAGCTCAGCTCAGGCACAGCTCACTGGCCTATGTGGGAGTCAAACCGGTGACCCTGTTGCTCAGAGCTCGTGCTCTTAACCCAACTGAGCCAGTCATCCGGCCTGTAACTTTTACATTTTAATTTTAGTTACCATCAGTTCTTTACTTTTGTCTCCCACCAGTACATTTGAGGTCTTAAGATGCCTCCCCTTAGGCTATTGCCACTATGAGATAGCTCAACAAGGCAATGATTATCAGGAAGGTGGGCTTCTGTAGCATGTTTGCTTTGACAGGCCCCTCAGTAGATTCTTAAACCTTCTTATTGAGAATCACATTGTATACTATGTTCGGTTAAAGAAATAAATTGGTCTTTCTTCCATAATGAATAAAATCTGTAATCTGGGGAAAAAGTTTCCATAGCTAAATATTAAAAATTGCATTTAGGGAGTATGAAATGATGCCCGAAATTGGGAGTACTAGTGTATTGGACTAGTCATTGGTTAACATTTTTAAAGAGAAAATGTGATAATGATAGGCTGTTTGACTTCATCTTGATAGCCAGATAATAAACGTAGATAGCTATTTGGATTTACTGTTATTTGAAGATCTTTGGAAATAAAATGGAAATATAGCTGAATTCTTTGAGCATTAAAAACTCAATTCATAATCTTAATAGAAGCATTAAAAAACCTTTAAAAAGGATTCAGTGTAATATTTAGATATTTAATATAGGAAATGGAAGAGCATTTATGAATGAATGGTTTTGTTCATTGCCTTTTAAGAATGTATTGTTCAATCAGCAAATATTTATTGGGCTAGCAATAAGATAGGCCTTCAGGATACAGAAATATAAACCTAGAGCTGTATGCCTGGAAATTGGCAAAAATTAAGAAGAAAAATGGCAGATATTTCTCGCTTTAAAAGTGGAGATTGTGTTGTGCTCCTTTGTTGAATTCATTTATTCTAACAAATTTTTTGTGGAATCTTTAGGGTTTTCTACATATGAGATCATGCCGTCTGCAAACAGAATTTTGCTTCTGCCTTTCCAATCTGATGCCTTTTATTTCTTTTCTTGCCTAATTGCTCTCTCTAGAACTTCTAATACTACTTTAAATAAAAGTGGCAAAGCTGCCATTCTTATCTTGTTCTTGATCATAAAGGAAAGCTTTCAGTCTTTCTCACTGGGTATGATGTTCGCTGTGGGTTTTTCATATGTGGCTTTTATTATGTTGAGGTAGTTTCCTTCTTCTAGTTCGTTGATAAAAGATGTTGTTTTTTGTGATAAAAGATGTTGAATTTTGTCAAATGTTTTTTCTGCACCAGTTCAGATTATCATGTGTTCCCCCCCACTTCATTCTGTAAACATGGTGTATTGATCCTATATTTATGTTGAACCATCCTTGCATTCTAGGAATAAGTCCCACTTGATCATGGTGTATAATCCTTTTATTATGCCACAGAATTCTGTTTCTAGGGTTTTTGCATCAGTGTTCATAAGGGATAATTTGTTTGTAGTTTGCTTAGAGTGTTTTTTTTGGCTTTAGTATCAGGCAATGCTGGTGTCATAGAATGAGTTAGGAAGGATGTCCTCCTCTTCAGTTTTTGGGAAGAATTTGAGAAGAATTGGTGTTCTTTAAATGTTTGGTAAAATTCACCAGTGAAGCTATTAGGTCCAAGGCTTTTCTTTGCACAACATTGTGAATGTAATTAATGCCACTGAACTGTACACTTAAAAATGGTTAAAATGACTATTTCCCTGTTGAATGGTCTTGGCATTCTTGTCAAAATCGTTTAACTATATATGAGGGTTTATTTCTAGGTGCTCTATTAAATTCCATTGGCCTATATGTCTCTCCTTATGCCAGTATTATATTGTTGTGATTACTGTAGCTTTGTAGTAAGTTTTGAAATTGTGAGGTGTGAGTCCTCCAGCTTTGTGTTTTCAAGATTATTTTGGCTATTTGTTACCCCTTGAAGTTCCATAAAACTTTGAGAATCAGCTTTTCCATTTCTGCAAAAGATACTTTTGGAATGTGATAGGGATTGCATAGAATCTGTGGTTTTTGGATAGTATTGACATTCTAACAATATTGTCTTCTACCTATGAACAAGATGTCTTTAAATTAATTTAGGTCTTTAATTACCTTCAGCAATATTTTATAGTTTTCAGTCTACAAGTATTTAACCTCCTTATTTAAATTTATTCCTCTGTATAGTTGAGTCTTGAATGACACAGAAGTTAGGGGTGCTGACCCCCTGCACAATTGAAAATTTGCGTATAACTTTTGACTCCCTCAGAACTCAACAACTAACAGCCTACTGTTGACTGGAAGCCTTACTGATCACATAAACAATCAATTAGCACATATTTTGTATGTTTTATGTATGTATATGTGTTATATACTGTGTTATAATAAACTAGAAAAAAGAAAATTTTATGAAGGAGATCATAAGAGAAAACATATTTACAGTATTTATTGATAAAAATGCATGTATCGGTGGACCGACGTAGTTCAAACCCATGTTGTTCGAGGGTCAACTGTATTTTATTCTTTTGGATACGATTGTAGATGGAATTGCTTTCTTAATTTCCTTTTTGGATTGTTCATTGAAGGTGTATAGAAACACAACTGATTTTTGTATATTGATCTTGTATCCTGCTACTTTCCTGAATTTATTTATTAGTTTTATTAGCTTTCTCATAGATTCTTTGGGATTTCTATATAGGATCATGTCACCTGTGAATGGATATAGCTTTCATTTAGCTTTTTTCTTGTCTAAGTACTCTGGCTAAAACTTGAGTATAATGTCAAATAGTAGTGGTGAAAGCAGACATCCTTGTCTCATTTCTGATTTTATAGGGAAACCTTTTACTCTTTTTAAGATTTTATTGGGGGGAGGGGAACAGTGTTGGGGAATTGGGGAAGGGGAACGGCTAAGTTGTCCTTCAATCTTAATTGTAGAGGGCTCAGCAAGCTAAGCTCCAAGTCCAGTTGCACCGCTCAGCTCAAGGTGCTCTGTTCAATTAGTTGCAGGTGGGCGTAACCTCCATTCCATGCAGGAGTCGAACCAGCATTGTTAAGAGCACATGTTATATTCACTGAGCCATCCAGGTGGCAGCTCAGCTCAAGGTGCTGTGTTCAGTCTTTTAGTTACGGGCAGGCATAGCCCACCATCTCTAACAGGCAACCTTGTTGTTAGGAGCACATGCTCTTACCAGCTGAGCCATCCTGCCACTTGTTGGCAGCTCAGTGGCAGCTCAGCTCCGGTGCAGCTCACTGGTCCATGTGGGAATCGAACTGGCGACCCTGATGCTCAGAGCTCGCACTCTTGAGCAAGCTCTTAACTAACTGAGCCCCTCGGCTGGCCAGAAACCTTTTGATCGTTATGTTGAACCACCTTTCATTCCTTGCAGCTTTGTTTTGATTCATGTTTGTATGGTATATCTTTTTTATCCTTTTACTTTTAACCTACCTATATCATTATATTTGAAGTAAGTTTCTTATAGACAGTATACAGTTGGGTCATATTTCTTCTTTCTGATAATTTTGTCTTTTAACTGGTGTATTTAGGCTATTTAATATGGTAGATATGTTTAGACTTAGGTCTACTATTTTATAACTTGTTTTCAGTTTGTTCCTTTGTTTCCCCTTTTCTGCCTTTTTAAGAATTGTTTGTGCATTTTAGTATTGTATTTTAATTTATTAAATGTTGACTAAATCTGTATATGATTTTTTGATATTGCTCTGGAGATTACTAAATACATACTTTTCACAGCCTACTTAGGATCAGTATTTTACTGCTCCAATTGAAATGCAGAAACTACCCTCCCCCCTTTTGCTGTATTTGTCTATATTACATCTACATACTTTGAAAACCCATAAAAAATGTTATATTTTTTGCTTTCATCTGCCAAACATTTTAAAGAACTCACGAGGAAAATGTCTGTTACATTTATACACAGATATTCATAATTTCTGTTGTTCCTGATTTTCTAAGTTTCCTTCTAATATTATTTTTTCCTTCTGTCTGAAGAACTTCCTTTAGCAATTCTTTTTGAACAGTTTGCTGGCTAAGAATTCTTTTTTCTTTCATCTGAAAATGTCTTGATTTTTTATTCCTGGAGGGTATTTTTGTTAGATATAGAATTCTGAACTTACAGTTCATTAGGCACTTTAAAAATGTTTTGCCATTTCCTCCTGTCTTCTGTAGTTTCTGGTGAGAAAGCTGTAGTCATTTGAATTCTTTTTCTTTCTTTTTTTAAAAAGATTTTTATTGGGGAATTGGGGGATGGGAACAGTGCTGGGGAATTGGGGGAAGGGGAACAGACAAGTTGCTGTCTTTTTGTTCTTCAGTCTAGT